GCTGAAGTCCTGGAGTGAGGCCCTCACCTCCAGGTTGGCAGTTCTCCCCGAGGCGCCTCCCGCTATCGACTGGGCTTACTACAAGGCCAACGTGGCCACGGCCGGCCTAGTGGACGACTTCGAGAAGAAGTTTAAGGCCCTGAAGATCCCTGTGCCAGAGGACAAGTTCACTGCCCTGGTGGATGCTGAAGAAAAAGAAGATGTCAAGACCTGTGCCGAGTGTGTGTCTCTTTCCAAGACCAGGATTGAGGAAGACGAGAAGCAGGTGGAGAAGATGAGGAACATCATTCCCTTTGACCAGATGACCACTGACGACTTGAACGAAGTCTTCCCCGAAACCAAGTTAGACAAGACCAAGGATCCCTACTGGCCTCATCGGCCAATCGAGAGTTTGTGAAGCGGAGTCTGAGTGGACACGCTGGCCCTCCCCTGAGGCGCTCTGAACAGTAAAAATAAGAATGCTAAAAAAAAAGTGAATATCAGAAGAGACTCGAAACTTGGCAAATGGAAAACCTGACGAAGTCAAAGAACTGAACCGAACATTTCAAAGGGCGGCTGAAGAAATAACAAAGCAAATACTATAATGAAATGTGCAAAGAGCTAGGGTTAGAAAATCAAAATGGAAGAGCACGCTCAGCTCATCTTAAACTGAGAACTCAGAACCAATTCAAGCTTCAAGTTGCAATACTGAGAGATTCTACGGGCAAAATACTGACTGATGTGGAAAGCATCAAAATGATATGAAAAAAATGCACAGTCACTGCACCAAAAAGAACCACTGGACATTCCACCGTGTCAGGAGGTGACATGGGCAAATGACCCACTGATTGCAGGAAGAAGTTCCAGCTGCTCCGAAAGCATTAGCCAAAAAGCGAGGCCCCAGGAATTGGTGGAATACCAACTGAAATGTTTTAATGCCCCGGAAGTACTTACTCACCAGGAAATTTGGAAGACGGCTATTTGGCCAACGGACTGGAAGAGATCCATATTTGTACCCATACCAAAGAAAGCCGCCTCAACAGAATGCTCAAACTATGGAAAATACTAACAATCATGCAAGTAAAATCTTGCTAAAGATCATCCAACAATGACTGCAGCAGTACACCGACAGTGGGTTCAGGCCGATTCAAAAGAGGAACAAGGGATAGCATTCATTGCTGATGTCAGACGGCTCTTGGCTCCAAGCAGAGGATACCAGAAAGATGTTCTTGTGTTTCACCGTGCCAAGGCATTTAACTGCATGGATCAGAACAAAATGGATAGCTTGCGAAGGATGCGAATCCCAGAACACTTCATTGTGCTCATGTGGAACTTGTACGAATAGAACAAGGGAATGCTGCATGGTTTAAAAGGTGCGTGTCAGGGCTGTTGTGCAATTAATTAGAGAAGTTGGATCAAGTGAAGACGAATGGAGTATCAGGACTGGAGGAAGGCTTATTAACACTCTTTGATAGGCAGATGACACAACCTTGCTTGCTGAAAGTGAGGAGGACCTGAAGCACTGGCTGATGAAGATCAAGGATTGCACCCTTCAGTAGGGATTACAGCTCAATGGAAACAAAACGAAAACCTTCACAATGGGGCCAACAGATAATAACATCAAGATAAACAGAGAAAAGATGGACATTTACAAGGGTTTTGTCTTCCTTGGATCCACAATCAATGCTCATGGAAACAACAGTCCAGAGATAAAATGCAGCGTTGTATTGGGAAATCTGCACAAGA